GCGCCGCCACCCGGGCGCGCCCGCGCGCGTCCCCGCTGCTGCCCCGCCTGGAAGCGCAGCTGAAGATGGCGAGCTCGGCGCCCTCGGAGCACGCCGAGGAAGGATGCGCGGCTCCCGCCGCCCGGGATCAGGCGCAGCCGCCGCCGCCCGCGGCCTCCCCAGATAAGGAGGAAGACCAGGAAGCTCAGGGGGAGGCGGCGGCAGCTACGGCAGGCCCGGGGCCGCAGGTGGAGGAGGCCGCGGGCCGGGTGGCTGCCGCGGTGACTTGGCTACTCGGGGAGCCGGGGCTGTGGCTGAGCTGCCGCGCTGAGGAGCTCCTGAGCTGGAAGAGGCCGCTGCGCAGCTTGCTTGGCTTCGTCGGTGCCAACCTGGTGTTCTGGTGAGAGCTCGGGCTGGGTGGGGGAGCCCCGGAGGGCAGGTGACCTTGGGACACATGAGGGTGCACGGAGTGTGCCCCGGGGGCCCAGTGTGTGTGTGTGTGTGGGGGGTGCACGCTGGACACAGCGGGTAAGAAGTGCCAGTCCTGCCCCACTTTCTCGGCCACCTGTCTGAAACAGGTAGACGCTCGCTTCGACTTTACTCTAGGAGCATTTCGGTGTAAACACATCCTCCGTGTGTGTACCCAGCCTCAGATGTGAGGTGGTCGGTTGACCGGGGGCACCTGTATCTACAGGTGTCTCCAGCGTGCAGGAAAACTTCTGCCTTGGCTTTGTTAAACTCGCAGGTCTTGACCTGCTCACCCAAGTAAGCCAGAGCAAACGTGCTTAAACTTGTATTCGTTCTTGCACTCCCAGCAGGCTTATCTAGACCAGCTTAGATGCCGGAGACTGCCCCGACTTCGCCAGCCACCCGAGATGGGCACTGAATGATTTGTTTTCCCTTACCCTGGAGAGTTGGGTTTACCGTCTCTGCTCCCTGATGAGAAGACAGGAGGCAAATAAACAGGTGGATTGTGCACTGCACCCCGCCCCCCGGGGGACGGTGTGGAAAACAGTCGTATTTTTAGGCGAAGTACAGGAAGAACACACGAGAATTCTCTCTTAATAGCCCCAGGTCAACAGGTTTGTCTCTCCAAAAAGCACTCTTCACCGGTGAGGATAGGGACGTGTCTGGCTTCTTCATCGAAGGGTGTGCCCTGTCCTCTGTTGCCAGTCTGATTGAGGACAGAGAAGAACCTTCTTTGTTTGCTAAGTGTCCTCATCACAAACATGACCCACACAGTGCGATCAGCAGAGCTTCAGGACAGATGCCTTGTGTCATGGGTTTCTTACTCTCAAAGTTGAGAAATTAATCAAGGCATAAAGCAGATACAACCTGTCACATTCTAGGTTAACCTTAGCAAATGTGCAGGTTTTTCTGCAGGTCTGTGCCAGTCCTTATTTTTAACAAATTATATCTCTTGTTGAGGTCTCAGGTTATGAATTAACTTTACTTTGGGTCTCTTAGCTACCTGTGTATCTAGAAATTAGTCCATAGTCTGTCTTGTTAGGAAGTTATGTGAGCCCTTAAATGAGGGGGACACATTGTGTTATGCTAGATTGGGCAACTGTCCAGTAGTCTTATAGCTGTCTCACTTGTTTTTTCAATGAGTGACATGTTTTTAGAATTTTATTTTTTAATTTAAATTTGTATTTGTTAAAGTAACTTATACAGTCTCATGGTATAAGGCCAGGCATGGTGGCTCACACTTGTAATCCTAGCACTCTGGGAGGCCGAGGCGGGTAGATTGCTCGAACTCACGGCTTTGAGACCAGCCTGAGCAAGAGGGAGACCCCCATCTCTAAAAAGAACCAGTGTTGTGGTGGGTGCCTATAGTCCCTGCTACTTGGGAGGCTGAGGCAAGGAGATCACTTGAGCCCAAGAGATTGAGGTTGCCGTGAGCTATGACAGCATGGCACTCTACTGAGGGTGACAAAGTGAGACTCTGTCTCAAAAAAAAAAAAATTTAAAGAACAAAAGCGTAAACATTTTCAAAATCTCTTTCTTCTTGCTGGTCTTTGGCTACCCGGTTTCCTCAAAGAGGCAACCAGTGTTACTAGTTCCCTGTGTACCTTCCCCGATAGTGCCTACTTTAGCAAATACATCATAGCCTATGCAAATTGTGGAATATCACGTGGACTAGTCCTCTCTTCTTAGTATATTGTGAGGATCACTTCCTTGTTCTTTTTCAGCTGCATAGAATTCTACTGTAAAGATGTTTCAGATCGCCTAACCTGTCTTCTACTGAGGCACTGATGTCGTTTCCAATGTTTTGGTATTTTAATGTTATAGCTAAAGGCTCTGTACATGCATAATTTTTCATATATGCAAGTGTTTTTGTAGGATAAATTCCCAGAAATGGAATTGCTGGGTCAGAGGGGATGTGCATTTGTAATTTGGATGGGTATCCCTGAATTGCATGTACTTCCTTAGGGTTCTACCAGTTTATACTCCCACCAGCAATATGTTTAAATGCCTGTTTCACTACACCCTTGCCAAGAATATTTTATGAAATTTTTTTCATCTTGTAAATCTAACAGATGAAAAAGTGTCCCAATATGGCTTTAATTTGCATTTCTCTGAAATTGGGCACTTTTCCTCCTGTTAAAGAGCCACTGTAGTTATCTTTTCTTTGCATTGTTTGTGAATAAGCTGTATAATGTTTTTTTTTTTTTTTGGCTGGGGCTGGGTTTGAACCCGCCACCTCCGGCATATGGGACTGGTGCCCTACCCCTTTGAGCCACAGGCACCACCCAGCTGTCTAATGTTTTAATTGGGCTATTGGTCTTTTCCTTATTGGTTTATAGGAACTCTTTTTATATTAAGGACTTTGGCCTGATTTCTATGAGTTGCAAACATTTTTTGTATATTCTTTAATAATACCTATTGAAAATAACGTTTTGCATAAAATAATTGAAAAGCATATTGGATATTATTCAAGAATGTATCTTCGGCCCATTTTTTTTAATGAATGTGATGGAGAACTGAGCAATGGCCAGGCATTCCACCTAGGAATAGCCTTCTGCTTATATGACTTATTATGTTTGGAGTATCTTCATCCCATTCATGTATTTTCTTTGAGAGTAGTCCTACTCTTTAAATTCTGAAATATGTATTGTTGCTTTGTGTTATAATCCATTGGAAATGGCTCATTTATTAATTTCATTAAAAGTTTGGAGATTTCCCTCTTTTATTTGTTACTTTGGGGTTAAAATTCTTTTCAAGGATGTTACATTTTTTGTTAAACACTGTATTTCTTCTGAAATTATTATTATTATTATTATTTTTAAGATAGAGTCTTACTTCATCATCCTGGGTAGAGTGCCCTGGCGTCAAAACTCACAGCAACCTTAAACTCTTGGGGTCAAGTGATCCTCTTGCCTCAGCCTCCCAAGTAGCTGGGGCTACAGGTGCCTTCCATAACACCCAGCTATTTTTAGAGATAAGGTCTTGCTCTTCCTCAGTCTGGTCTCGAACTCTTGAGTTCAAGTGATCCACCGCCCTCCCAGAGTGCTAGGATTACAGGCATGAACCGTGCCCGGCCTTCTTCTGAAATGATCTTAAATTATGTGATATGTTAACATTCTATGTCCCAGAATCTCAAAAGTACCAGAATCTCAAAAGTACCAGAATCTCAAAAGTACCAGAATCTCAAAAGTGAGAAAAACTGTAACAAAAAAAAATCAGTATTAGAAATAGAACCCAAATCTATCTTAAGCAATAATATTGCTATTTTCATTTTAATTGGTGTAATTTCATTTTTGTGGAAATAAACTTTTTAAACATACATTTTTGAATGATTTAGCACCTGGTACTAGCAGTAACTCTTAGGATTTTGAGTTTGACTCAAAAGTTTCGCCATTTATTGTCCATTATCTGTACAATTGTACTGCTGTGCACTAAAAGGAAAAAACTGAGACACATCATCACAAATGGGCATAACTCAAGGTTGCATGAAGAAGGGTGCTGGAAGAGTCGTGATATGGTTTGGGGGGACAGTGGCCATGTGGATGGAAAAGGCTGTGGGGATCCGCATAGGGAGATCACACTAGAAGTAGAATTTGCTGCACAGGAATAATTTGGGTAAATGAAGAGCTTCCTGGCCCTAAGGAATAAAATGAACCAATTGCATCTTAAAGGTATGCTTAATATTCCAACCACACTGCCATAAACAGGTGCAAGGGCAGCAAGAGTTGGGAGAGAAACACAGTGGGGTTGGCTAGTTGGTTGGAGATACCTTGGGGGATTGTAGGAGCCTTGAATGCTGTGCTACATGTTTGAATCTGTGTTTTATGTGGGTAACAGGGACCAGAAAATGCCTTATGGATGTGTCCATAAATATTTTAAGGGATAAGTAAATTGCAGTTTGTTTATTCCTACCATGGGCTGGATACTGTATAAGAGGGAAAATAAACTGTAGCTTTGGCAACAACATGAATTAATTTTATAAATGTAATTTGGGGCAAGAGAAGCACAAAATAATACATCCAGTATGATTAAAAAACACTTTAAAATGTGTAAAACTAAAGAGTATTGATTAAGGGTATACACATCGGAGATAAAACTACAAAGAAAGGCTGGGAGAGGTGGCTCATGCCTGTAATCCTAGCACTCTGGGAGCCCAGGAGTTGGAGACCAGGCTAAGCAAGACTGAGACCCTGTCTCTACAAAAAATAGGAAAAATTAGCTGGGTGTGCTAGCTTGTGGGTGTAGGCATAGCTACTGGGAAGGCTGGAGCAGCAGAATCGTTTGAGCCCAGGATTTGGAGATTACAGTGAACTATGATGATGCCATTGCAGTCTACCCAGAGCGACAGAGCAAGACTATGTCCCCCACCCCAAAAAAGAAAAAGAGAATGAGAGAGAATAACTACAAAGAAAATAAAAGACGTTCTTGACTTGGATATGCACACACACACATAGGCATTCCTATCTGTGATATATCTTACGAAAAAATGCTAACAAAAGGATATTCACTGAGACCTCAGAGGAGCTTGATTAAATACAGGCCACTTAGTTGCTGGGTTCCCACAATTGAAATAGATTGGGTGACAGCTCAATAGTTTTGCAGCTCTGAGGGCCACAAATTATATTATCTCATTCATTTGGCCAATGAGGAATATATCTTTAGCATTTTTTTCCTTAATTTAAAATTTTACTTATTTTAAAAAAATAACACAGCCTTACACTTCAAAGTTTAAAAGGACAAGGGGGTAAATGTTTTGAAGATCTCTTTCTCGTGCCTGTCCCTAACTACCCAGTTTCCTTTCAGAGGCCACTGATGTTCCAGTCATAAACACATCTGGAAATAGAATGAACCCAATGAAATAGAAAATGTTGGGTTTATTTTTGTTTTTACAGAATTGACTTTCTGTGGTTTACTCTCAATAAAATGCCTATA